GGCGGCCCCACATTCGGTAGGGACTGATGGCCAACCCAAGATTCCTTCCACTTGATTTTTCTGATGGAATCTAGATACTTTTTAGTATTTTTCCTTTTTCGTTTAAATGTTATAGACATTCTAAAAAAATTATAAAAAGAAATCTTAAATAACAAATAAATATTGTCTCTAAATAAATAATAAAGAAATATTTTTTAATTTATTATTATCAATATTATGTCCCTATTAATAATGTTTTATTTATATAATTTATATTTTCAATTTTCTTGTGATACTATAAAAATTTCCATTAATACTTTGATTTAAATTACTTTCTTGTTATTAAAAAAATTCATTTTGAATAAATTTTATATAAATGGGTTTGATGGGATGTTACGTGACATTATGTTTTTTAGGATGGAGAATTCCAACTTATTTTTTTAATTGAGTGGACGAATCAACTGCTAGATATATTTTTAAATTTGTCAAAAATAATTATATATGTTTTTAAAATCAAATGTTAGACGAGGAATTACAAAAGGGTTCTGTTGGAAAATTAGGTGCTGCAAATAATTTTTCTTTACATAATTATCCAATCACACAATACAGTAAAGCAATAAACGACACAACATATCTATACGAGTTCACTCTAACATTTTATAGGTTACGTCAAATCTTTTGTTCAGATGCAGGTTCATAGAGGTCCCAACAAAGCTATGTAACCTCCAAGTATTATAATACACTATACTCACATATAGGAATGAAAAATACTCACAAAGAATCAAGATACAATTACCTCAAACAATTATCTCGATCTGTCCTATTTGTGTGTTGCCAATGCCCAAGTCGTCACCCCAAATCTGCCATAAAATTTCTGTCAAATACTCTAAAAAATTGGCTGCAAACAAGATGTTTTAATTTCCACAGCTAAACCCCCTTTTTATAAAACGCCTTAACGTTGAGACGTTGGGCATAGAGTCTCAATGCTACGACCCCAAAAGGCATCACACCAATCCTTGTGCCTTTATTTGTTTTTTGTTTTTTGTTTTTTTGTTTTCGCGTTGCAGACCTGCTGTCCTCTCGATCAAAAGGCTTCTATAGCGTCCAACGCTTGTTTTTCATCCCTGCTTCATCCCAACGTGTCCCGACTCAACCCTAGTTGGTTCCAAGGTCGATTTGGCTCCATCAATTCCAACAGATTCTGATATAATTATTGGTGAAATTTAAATTAGTAATTAAAGTAGTTCTATATTTATCTAAAAAAAGGTTCTTACATTGGAAGCATATGGATTAAAAGTTCAAAATTTCCCCCGAAAATAGGAGTAAAATCTCGATTATTAAAATAGTATATAAGTAGTTTTATTATTTTTGAAACTATATTGGAAATTTGAATGGTATGGATCAACTAGTTTTTTGGCGTTGGACGTTTTAGATTTTTTTTTTTATTATTAGTCTTGTTGGATTCTATTTAGCTTATAGTATTTTATTTGAAAAATTAAACTTGTTTACAATCAATTTTTATCTAGATTTTTTCATTTGGATGATTCTCGATTTTAATTGTGTTCTTAAAATTTAAACTTAGTTGACTATATTATCTAATATTTTCACTTTTTAAAAATACTACTAAATTCTTAACTTTTTTTTATTAGTTCAATGAAGGTGAAAGATTCGAATCGACGTTTTAATTGGAGATATATAAGGTACGTTAAGCAACTCTTAGCCAATTTAAAAAATGAAAAATAATAATAATTTTGGAAAGGAATTTTTCTTTTAATATTTATTTTGGTTTAGAAAAATGTTTTAAAATTTGAATACAAGATATCCTTTTATTTTGTGTTTATTATATAAGCGTGATTTCTAAATTAAATGCTCCTAATACGTGTGACTTCTGTTTTTAAAAATATCCATAAATAAAAAATAGAAATTATTATGAAAGGGACTTGAGCAACCCTAAATCAAAAGTTCGACCCAAGTTTTACAGTTGTGTGTTTTTTTTACCTGGCAAAAAAGAATATATATATATTTTTAAATATTATATTACAGGTATGAGAGCGTTAAATCAAAAACAGAAACGTATATATAAGATAGTAACTATGCTCAAGTTCTTTAATAAAACTATTGTTTAAAGGTTAAAATTTCCTTACACTCCTTAAAATTTAAACGTTTGACTTTGAATCGGTGAATCCATAACCATAATACTTAATACTTAAGTTTTCATGTCAATTTCTCAAAGTCATCATCATTCTAATATGTCTACGGAAATAAAGTCTATCTAAATCTTATTATATGTAAGTCTTTTTTTTAATACTTTATACTAATAGCAAATATCTCTTATTGGTTCAAGATGAGAGAGAAGTTAAAAGAGTAATTTTAATCATATGATATGTTTATATATAATTTTTTAATACAACCACTAATAATTAAGATTAATATCAACACAACTTAATTAGTTCAAATATAAGTCATCTATCAAAAAGATTGGAAGAATCCCCATCCAAAACTAAAAAATAAAACCCGCAAATAATTAAAGGGGATTTAAAAAGTTGATTAAAAAATACAATTTATAGATATTTGTGGTACTGTTTTAAAAGAAATAGCACATAATAAATAAATAAATAAATAAAAAAAGATCTTTTTGAAATAGACTATCGAGAGGGCGATGGAGCAATAAAGTCAAAGAGTTTTCTGCTAATACGCTACCTAGCAAGGCGAATCAATTCACTATCTATCATATCATTCATACGTAATCGCCATTGGCCATAGCTCTTTTGTTTCTTAATAAATAAACAAATTATGACGTAATTGTTCTGCCCATTTTTCCACAATGTAAGACTGGTCAACTAATAGATAAATGTAACTTTAAATATTTTGTGATAAATCCAAAATATCTATACATATTGTACTTGGTCTTAACATTAGTGATTATTAATAACAATGAGAGTGAATTCAATAATTAACTAATAGTTCAACTAATAAAATATTAATTACTGTAATAATAATGATGATCAACAATAAAAAAAATGACAATAACATATTAATGCTAGTACTACATTGAAAAAAGGTAATGTTCATAGAAATTATCAAAATATACCAATACGTTCAATAGACAGACACAATCGATTATTTAATTATGTGTAACGTCAATCCACTCATCAAAAAGGATCGATAATGATCTTATAGAAGTCAAAACCCTCGCTAAAGAAGCTGCTCTCCTCTCAACCTCGACATTAATGAAAATGGTTTCCATTGATCACGATCGAAACAAGGACGACGAATATTATCGAACAAAAAGCTTCGTATAACTATGAAAA